AGTGAAAGGCAAAGGAGAACAGGAAAGATATTCCCATTTGAATGAAGAGTTCCACAGAATAGCAAGGAGAGTTAAGAAAGCCTTCTTAGGAGAACAATGCAAAGAAACAGAGGAAAACAATAGAATGGGAAAGACTAGATCTCAAGAAAATTGGAAGTACCAAAGGAACATTTCATGCAATGATGGGCACAATAAAGGACAGAAATGGTAAGGATCTAACAGAAGAAAGAGGTTAAGAAGAGGTGGTTAGAATACACAGAAGAACTGTACAAAAAACGTCTTAATGACCCAGATAACCACGATGGTGTGATCACTCACCTAGAGTCAGACATCCTGGAGTGTAAACTCAAGTGGGCCTTAGGAAGCATTACAACCAATAAAGCTAGTGGAGGTGATCGAATTCTAGCTGAGCTATTTAAAATCCTAAAAAAACGGTGCTGTTAATGTGCTGCACTCAACATGTGAGCAAATTTGGAAAACTCAGCAGTGGTCACAGGACTGAATAAGGTCAGTTTTTATTCCAATCCCAAAGAAAGGCAATGCCAAAGAATGTTCTAAGTACTGCACAACTGTGTTCATTTCACATGCTAACAAGGTAATGCTTAAAACCCTTCAAGTTAGGCTTCAACAGTACTTGAACCAAGAACTTCCAGATGTATAAGCTGGATTTAGAAAAAGCAGAGGAACCAGAGATCAAATTGCCAACATCTGTTGGATCACAGAAAAAGCAAGAGAATTTCAGGAAAGTATCTACTTCTGCTTCATTGACTATGCTAAAGCCTTTGACTGTGTGGATCACAACAAACTGTGGAAAATTCTTCAAGAGATGGGAATACCAGACCACCTTATCTGCCTCCTGAGAAACCTGTACATAGGTCAAGAAGTAACAGTTAGAACCTGACATGGAACAACAGACTGGTTCCAAATCGGGAAAGGAGTACGTCAAAGCTGTATATTGTCACCCTGCTTATTTAACTTATATGCAGAGTGCATCAGGAGAAATGCTGGGCTGGATGAAGCACAAGCTGGTGGGAAAAATATCAATAACCTCAGATATGCAGATGACACCACCCTAATGGCAGAAAGTGAAGAGGAACTAAAGAGTCTCATGATGAAGGCTAAAGAATTCCAAAAACTAAGAGAGTGGCATCTGGTCTCATCACTCCATGGCAAACAGATGGGGAAAAAATGGAAACAGTGACAGACTTTATTTTCTTGGGCTCCAAAATCACTGTGGACAGTGACTGCAGCCATGAAATTAAAATAGGCTTGCTCCTTGGAAAAAAGCTATGTCAAACCCAGACAGCATATTAAAAAGAGACATCACGTTGCCAACAAAGGTCCGTCTAGTCAAAGCTATGGTTTTACCAGTAGTCATGTATGGATGTCAGAGTTGGACCATAAAGAAGGCTGATAGCAGCAGAATTGATGCTTTCAAACTACGATGCTGGAGAAGACTCCTGAGAGTCTCTTGGACTGCAAGGAGATCAAACCAGTCAATCCTAGAGAAAATCAGTCCTGAATATTCATTGAACGGACTGATGCTACAGCTCCAATAACTTAGCCATCTGATGCAAAGAACTGACTCATTGGAAAAGACCCTGATGCTGGGAAAGATTGAGAGCAGGAGGAGAAGGGGGTGACAGAGGATGAGATGGTTAAATGGCATCACCAACTCAAAGGACATGAGTTTGAGCAAACAATGAAGGACAGAGAAGCCTGGCATGCTACAGTCCACTGGGTTGCAAACAGTCAGACAGGATTTAACAACTGAACAACAACAATCTGCTTTGTTAGATTGTGAGTCCCTTGAGGCTATGAATTGTATTTCAATCTCCTTTATATTCAATTCTAAGCCCAGTGCCTAGTACAGAGTAGGTGCTGTGATGATAGATGGATGAAAGGGCAGAAGGCGGGAAGATAGGGAAAGGAAAGCACTTAAATTGGGAACTCGGGTCTTTTCTATGCCATGAGGACAGAACATAGGGTTAGGAGAGGATTTAATCACAGCCCCTTCCAGGTCTGGGGCAGCAAAAGCTTCCACGGTGGCTTCTGTGAAGCTCTTGGCAGGGTAAGAGGCTTCAAATTAAAAGATTTCTATGGTAGGTAGGTAATATTAGGAGCAAAATTAGTTAGGTGGTAAGGGTAAGAATCACAGGGGTTGGAAGTCAGAGAAGGTGTGTGGATGGATGATAGTAAGCTGCAGAACGTGAATATAGATCTCTATTTGCAATAGTGACAGAGAGAGATAGGGAGCTCTTGTGACTGAGTCAACTGCAGAATTTACTTACAGGATATATGCAAATTCATGTGTCAAGGAGGGCAACACAGTAAAAATATGGTCATTAATTGATATTCTTAAGATTTTAAACATTGCTTTCTAATCTAAATGCTCTGTAAGTAGCACAGAAAAGATAAGCCATTCTGGATTAAATCCTGACTCAATCGTTTACTATTTGTATCATCTTGGGAAAAGTTACTTAATCATTCTGAGTCTGTTTCCACATCTATTCAACTGAGGATACTACCATCATATGGGATTATTAAGAAGATTAGTAATAATAAATATGAAGTGTCCGACACCATGCTTGAGTGACACACCAATAAACAGTATATATTATTGCTACTTTATAGATTAACAATATATTCAGCCATTCATGAAAAATAACTTGTTTAATCCTCTTTACCATTTCATACAGCTAACTATGCTAAGTGGTCATAGCTGTTATAACATGCACAACATTGCTGTATTCAGGAAGATGAATCTGCAAAGCTGTTTCAATATTTCCTTCAACATTTAGAGAAGTACAAAAATCAGCTAACACAGTAACTATTAACAGTCACATGCTCAAATACAACATTAATACTTAAAAGTCAATTCTTATGTTGAAAGTCAAAGATTCTAGCAAATTCTAGAACACAAACAAAAGTTAAGTTGGAGCAATTAGACTGACTTTAGTTTATCTATTTTTTCCCCCTACTGTGAAGTGCTATACACAAGAATGAATAAAAAAAAAAAATCACTAGAATAAAAAGGTGAAACTTGTTTAAATCTCTCAAGAAGCTGGCCAACAAATAGTAATTTTTGAGCCAGTATCTTAGTTTAAACTTTCACCTGTTTTCCCTTATCCTTTCTTTAGTTATAAAACTTTGAACAGGTGAATAAAAACATAATGAAAATAAGTCTCCAACTAAAGACCTATAGTGGTTTCACAATATCTAGCAAACTTAATCTCTTCTAGCTTTGAAGATTCACCATAAACTGATTCTATTCAATCTAACTTTATTTCCACAATCCAGTCACATTACTTAATCAAACCTGGCCTCCTCTAAACTCCCAACCCTATACTCACTCTCACCTCTGTCTGCCTCTGTGGTCTCCTGCCGCTGCTGCTGCTCAGGTGCTAAGCTGTGGCTCACTCTTTGCGACCCATGGACCATAGCCTGCCAGCCTCCTCTGTCCATGGGATTTCCCAGGCAAGAATGCTGGAGTGGGTTGGGAGTGTGGTCCCCAACTATAGTCATTCTCCTCTCTACTGTTTTCTAACTGGGACTGGTTTAAGCCCAGGACTCTGGCCTATTCTCAATCACCCAATTAGCATAGTATTACAAACTATTCTAAAATTAAAGATTGTTTTCACAAGCCACACCTAAAAATCTGACATTAAAGTTAAACCTCAAGTTAACTATTTTCTGCCATTCCTGATGAGGCGAGAGTATCATTATTTTTAGTTATGTTCCCTTATCACTAGATTTCAAAATTATAAATGAGAGATTGACTTATTTCAGCCATAATTTCCTTTGAGAAAACCTTTTGAACCTAAGGAATAATCCCTAGGATTATCAATAAGAATCTCAAGAACATGCTTATTTGTAAAACTTGTTCTTTCATGTATGACTATTATATCAGATTATAAAAAATTCACATAAATAAGATAAACATGACCTTGGATCCCTCAAATGCTACCACAGCTGAAAAATCAGTATTTATAGGAAAGACCTACAAAACTTCGAGGCAAATTAAATTAAACCACATCTAAGATTTATCATTTTTGTTGGCTTTTCTTTTCATTCAGAATTTACTTAGATTGACTGCCTCCAGGAGGTATTACCCAAAACACAGACTTTAACTGAAGAGTGTAATACCAGGAAAGGGTAATGTTCAAACTTTTTCCTTTGAGGTTAAATTAATTTAGTGAAGAAAATGAGTTTCTTTCTTAAGAAGCGAGGTTTATGTTACCCCTTCAAATGACTGTGAATAAACATTATTGTACAAATAGTTCAATACAAGAAGCATACTTTTCCATTTATGTTTAGTCGGATAGTTATCATTAGAAAAAACCCAAGGAAACTTACCTAGAATCATATTAATTAAAAAGTGTCTCTCTAGTCAAAATACATTATTTTAAATAATTTAAATCACCTAGTATAATAAAACTATCTAGTAAAAACTACTTGAAAATTTCATGAGTTGACTCTCACAGATTCAAGTTCGTGCCAGTTTAAAAAGTATTCAGATACTAAGAAATCTGTTAACTGATATTAGGCAAGTATCCTTTTTTGCAATCTCAGTAATACTGCTATGAAGTGAAAAAGAAGACAAGAGTAAAAAAGACTTCCCTTTAGTCACAACGGTAATACCACAAATCTACTATAAAGATAAAAAGAAAATTTTAGTTTAATTGAAGTAACTTTGAAACCCAGGCAAACTATCAAGTATTTTCAGATCTCAATAAAAAAATAAAATATTTGCCATACAAACATTAATTGATCATTTCAAATATGATTAAAGAGGTTTAAGGAAATCAAATCCTCAATACTAGAACAGAAAAATGTGTGTTAAACAGAAGATAATCTTCTAAAATATTATTATTAATAATAATCAAAGATTCACAAAAAATATTTACCATGAAAGAGTCAATCATAAGCAATAATAAAGTGTTGTCACAATACAGAGGAAGGAAGAAAGAAATATATGAAGATCAAAATTTATCACTTACCTCATGGTTCAGCTCTGCTATCTGATCTTTCAGTTCCCTAATGTACTGGTTAGAATCAGACTTGTTAAGCTGCCCTTGAAGCTTTCCTTCTTCTTTCTGTTTTGTGACAATATAACAAAGCAAAATCAAGAGACAATTTTCATAGCATGTACTTAAGTATTTGAAGATACAGGACAGCATAAAGGCATATCCTTTAACCGGCTAAATTCTGAACAAATATATTCTCAAGCTATTTCTGTAAAATTAGTAGTAAACTATACTATTTCTAAATAATGCTGATTAACTGTATTAACGGGCTTTCCTGGTGGCTCAGAGGTTAAAGCGTCTGCCTGCAATGTGGGAGACCTGGGTTCTATCCCTGGGTCGGGAAGATCCCCTGGAGAAGGAAATGGCAACCCACTCCAGAATTCTTGCCTGGAGAACCCCATGGATGGAGGAGCCTGGTGGGCTACAGTCTACAGGGTTGCAAAGCGTCGGACACGACTGAGCGACTTAACTTTAACTAACTGTATTAATATAATTAACACAATTTATAAACTGTATCTTTTGAGAGACTCTTAGAAATCAATAATTGAAAAGGGTCTACTAGTGAAAAAAATTACCCTAGAATTTGAAAGCCATTTATTTAGTCATTTTGAGGGTAAATGCTTTTCTATCCATTCCATAAGAGATTCAATGCTTAATTGGGAAGGTGGTAAGCCTCCTACAATTACAGTAGGAAGTTGCTTTTGCTGGGGAACAGAAAGAAAAAAAAAAAGAGAAAAGGTTCTTCAAAACCCTCTTACAAGGGGAAGATGGCTCTGAATAGCTTCTGTTTAATTAGCTCAGGAATGTGATTAAAAGGTGCTCCAATCCTGAGAACTAGTTACAGAATCATGCTGGAATCATTTTCCAGGGAGACAGACTGGAAAGAGGAGGAACTGCCTTTTTCTTACACCACCTGAAAACAAATGTGAACTTTTAAGGTAAAGAAAAAAAACAGGATTGTTTTTGGTGTCTTCAGATTATTTGTTTAGGAGGCCATGTTTGATGTTTAAAATGTTAAGAAGCTCTGATCCAGAGACATCTACTGAAAACTACTGAGCAACTCCTGATGCCAGAAAAGTACCAATTTACCTTCAATAGTCACCACTCAGTTTCTTTTCATGGAGACAACCACTGTTAACAGTTTTTTTCATGTAGTCTTCCCATAGTATTTTGTACAGACATGTGTAAACTCACATGTATATACACATGTATAAACTCACATGTATACACACATATTTTTACTCATACTATAGACACCATACAAGCTGTTCTACATTTGCTATTATCTCAAGAATAGTACTTGAAGATCATTCAATATCAGCATGCAGCAGAAGGATTGTGATTTGAGAGAATTCTGGAGTTCCTGTAAAAGTTATCTTAGTGGTATCTAAACATTTATCAGTTACTTAAAAGTAAGTTTTAAAAGGTGCCTTAGGTTCTATACAATTACCTTGAATATGATCGGTTATAGTGAAGAGCATTTTCCAATGTGGAAAATGTCTTTCCACTCACAGGAAGTCCACTTGGACATAATCTGGTCTGGAACTCTGACTGCAACCACATGCAGCCTCTACTTTGCTTCCACATGCCCTCCCCTAACATACTTGATAAAAAGAAGAACTAGCCAGAACTGCCTCGGCAACAGGATGGGCAGCTCCTCTGTAGAGTAATGGCAACCACCCCAACAAGATTGCTCTTCTAAACTTTAAAAAAAAAAAAAAAAAAAAAAGACTGCTCTTCTGCGTTACTCTATTCCTGCCACCTTCATTTCATCCTTATGTACCCTTTAGTCTGTTCTGCAAGCCTTTCATCAAGTTATTCCTACATGATCCTTCCCTTTTCTTCTTATGGCAATTTGACTTAAAAACCTTTCATTGGAATGTGGCCTGCTGAAGCAGTTTGATGTGACTAGTATTTGTACAGAGGTAAAAAACCAATTGAGCTTCCCTGGTGGCTCAGTGGTAAGAAGCCACCTGCAATGTAGGAGATGTGGGTTTGATCCCTGGATCGGGGAGATACCCGGGAGAAGAAAATGGCAACCCACTCCAGGATTCTTGCCTGAGAAATTCCATGGAAATTTCCTGGCAAGAGGAGCCTGGCAGGCTACAGTCCATAGGGTCACAAAAGAGTTGGAAATGACTTAGTGACTAAACAACAACAAAAGAACAACTACTGTTTCTGTCTAGTCAGTGTTAACACTTGGTCGTGTCCGCTCTTTGTGACCCCATGGACTGTAGCCCACCAGGCTCCTCTGTTCACAGAATTCTCCAGGCAAGACTATGGGAGTGGATTGCCATTCCCTACTCCACAGGCTTTAAAACTTTTCTTATACATTTAAACACATGGATATCACATATAATCTAAAAAAAGAATTAATTTAACAATGACTATATTTCAAACATGCAGGGCCTTCAAAATACATACAAAAGACACCTTATGGTTTTTAGCCATATTCCCATATTTAAGATAAAAATTCTTTTGAAAATTTAGTTAGAAATATTAATACGATGCCCAGAGAAATGATAGTAGAGCCAATAGAACAGCAAGGATACCAAAACAAAATCCTAATCAAACCATCTCTGAAGCCTTCCTTACTGATTTTTTATTTATATAAACCAATAAAATCTCTTGATTATTTAAACCAGTTTGAATGTGGATTTGTCACTTGCAACCAAAAAAATAAAAGCTAACATATCTGGAGCACTTATTAGGCCTTCACAATTGAGGGTCCCCCACAGGCTTCGGCAGTGACTCAGTGGGTGAAGAATCTGCCTGCAATGGAGGAGACACAGGTTCAATCCCTGAGTCAGGAAGATGCCCTTGAGAAGGAAATGGCAACTCACTCCAGTATTCTTGCCTGGAAAATTCCATAGACAGAAGAGTCTGTGGGCCTACATACAGTCCACGGGGGACATACATGTCCACAGAGTTGGACATGACTGAGCATACAAACTCATGTTACTTATCACAGGAATTAAGCCCTAATGCCTAAAGTATCCTTGTATGTAATGATCTAACTTACCTCCTATGCATCTAAAATGGTACTAGCTTTGTATCATCCTTAGAACAATTGAGAAAGTAGCTACTCAATTTTCTGTAGAGCTTCTCTACTGGAGGAGTGGTAGTAGAGAGAGAAAGGCTTACAATGAGCTAGGAATTGTTCTAAGCCCTTTACACGTAATTATCACAACAACCGTGCATAACTGTTGTTGTTGTCCCTCAGTCGTGTACGATTCTCTGCGACCCCAAGGACTGAGGCACTCCAGGCTTCCCTGTCCTTCATAATCTCCTGGAGCTTGCTCAAACTCATGTTCATTGAGTCGGTGATGCCATTTTTATTCCTATTTCCTAGATAAGGACACTTAAATGAAAGACTGAGTGAACTGGATGCTAAAGAGCCACAATAGATGACATGTTTTCTACCTTAAATTACAGCACTTTGAACATGAGAAATAATGAAACAGAATGTATGGAGATCTATGCAAAGGATTCACAAATTAGCTTTCTTGGATTTGTTACAAAAATACTTATTTTAGCCTCTGCTGATTTAAGGGCTTCCCTGGTGGCTCAGACGGTAAAAAATCTGCCTGCAATGCAGGAGACCTAGGTTCAATACCTGGGTTGGGAAGGAGGAAATGGCAACCCACTCTAGTATTCTTACCTAGGAAATCCCATGGACAGAGGAGCCTGGTGGGCTACAGTCCATGGGGTCACAAAGAGTAGAACATGACTAAATGGCTAACACTTGCACTTTTTCCACCGATTTAAACAGGAATTGCAACACCAAAAGAATTTAAAATGCTATAGCTACTTTCATCTACGGCCCTCAGCTAATATGATCCAAATTATCAATTTATAGTTGTCCAATATGACTTCATTTCCTTATGCCTGCATCTTATTTTTAATCATCCACTTTTTAAATGAAACATTTCAAAGGAAGAATAAGAACAACAGTGTAATAAAATAAAGACTAATGAACCCACCACCTAAATTCAGTCTGTTGCATGACTACATCTCATTCTAAGATTCTCCTTGGCTCTAAACTTACTCCACCTTTAGTCCTGTATATCTCAAAGATGGAAAAGATGATGTCAGGTAGAAAGGATTAAGTAGTGAGTAACTGAAAGAAGAAGGAAGACAAGAAAAAATGTAGAAAAAAAAATTTTTGAGGGAGAATATTCATTAATATAAATAAAATAAAGCCATTATTCTTACAGAATGTACTTTCTAAATCCTGTATGTGACATGAGAAAGGGGAGCATATTTTTAGTAAGTAACTGTATTTCCAAAGTCAGGAAGTCTGATAAGAATTACCCATTTTAATACATGTGTTCAGCTGGCTTTTTATTCTACTCTAATTTTACAACTATGTCATATTAATTCTCTTGAAATAGGTGATTAAATGGTAAGCGCAATCTACTACTTGGAAGATATCCTTCTGAATGAAATAAACTAAATGTTTATGGTTTGGAATCATACTTGGATAAAGGTGATTTTTAATTAGGTCCTCAATAAAGGTAAAAGTCTTGAGGATTTTGGTCATCACAGAGCAATGTTATCATGTGGGATAATGTAAAATTTTCAGGGTAAATAAAATGGCAAAACTACTCCAGTGTTCTTGCCTGGAAAATCCCATGGAGAGGTGCCTGGTAGGCTATAGACAATGGGGTCACTAAGAGTTGGAAACGACTTAGCAACTAAACAACTACAAAAAATGACAAAGCCCAAGGTAAGTGCTAAAACTGTAAAAATGCAGGAGTGCTTTAGATCTGAATGGCTGTAGAGTGACCAGTAATAATAATTAAGACCACTGAAAAAAAGGCTTGGCAAGACAGAAATCATTAAGTCTGTTTCACAAAAAAACGATCAAATGACTCCAAAGATTTGTTTCATCCAAAGGTGGGTCATTGTAGGGTTTGGCTAAAAAGTTTGTTATAGCACTTTGATTTCTTTGGAGGACAGGTAGTATTTAATGAAAAAACAGAGCAGTTAAGAAATTTTACAATAAAAAATGGAAAGCTTCCAACTTAAAAAAAGAAGACTCCTGAAAGATACTTGTGAAAATCAAA